TTATCACATAATAAGGCAGAATAGTTTCTATACTGTAATGAATGCTATCAATTAGCACTGCATTGTTCATATACTTTATTTATTACCCGGCGATGACTTGACAAACACAAATAAACCATATATTGTCGCAATCATATGTTTAATGTCTTCATGTTTCCAAACGTTTCTGTTTTTCTGTGAAAAGTAAACAACTGTTCATACAGCGATAGCTGGACACTTTTGTCCATATTAGGGATTTCCTGGTATGACTTTCTGCGCGAGAGCGCCCCCTGGCTTCGAGTATGAATGAAACACACACTTTTGTAATAAAATAAAAAGAACTGATCAATGAATCATATTTATTATTAATTCTAGCTGCACTTAATCAGCACTAATAAGAATGATTAATGCATACATTAATTATGTATTGATATGCAAATAAGCAAACTTTTTATTTTATTACCAGAACGTATTATTCACTATTAAAACATGAAACTTCAATATACTGAAGTGTTAATTCAAGGTAGTATGGAAGCCTGTTTCTGCCATGAAATAAACAATAACAAGGTAATTGTGACTTTTTATCTCACTTTCATTTTCTCTCAATTCTGAGGAATAGCGATAAAAAGTCACAGTTATCATTTAGTACTTTTTATTCCATGATGGAAACAAAACAACAGAAAAATGGCGAGATGGAAACTCAGTCTGAATTGCAAAGGGGAAAAAAAGAATTCTGAGACAAAAAAGTTAATGACCTTTTTAATTTTTTATCCTGTGGCAGAAACAAGCTTTCATAAGTTACTGATAATTTAAGTGTGCGTAATATTATCAAATTAATTTAATTTGATATTTTAAAAATGAGCAAAAAACAACATTCGTGTAAATGTGTGGCAGGACATACTGTAAATCGCTCGATCATGTGATCTGTGATGTTATGATGTTATGATGATGTGATGTTATTATGATGTTATGATGTGATGTTATTATGATGTGATGTTATGATGATGTGATGTTATTATGATGTGATGTTATGATGATGTGTTGTTATGATGTGTTGTTATGATGTGATGTTATGATGTGATGTTATTATGATGTGATGTTATGATGATGTGATGTTATGTTATGATGTTATGATGTGTTATGATGTGATGAATGCAGTGCTTGTGTCCGTGTTCAGGGTTCGAGCCGTGGGCAGCATCAGCGACTCAGACGCCTTAGACTTCGACAGAATGAAACAGGTAAAGATGACCATCAACATACTATTATAGGTTTTATTCATATATCATAAGAATTTAATTTTAGATTTTAATTTGAGTTAATAGTTTAGTCATTTAAATGTGTTTTTGTCATTTTTAGTTGTTTATATATATATATATATATAATGTGTGTGTGTCCCTGCAGCACAAAAGCAGTGTTAAGTCGCTGGGGTATATTTGTAGCAATAGCCAACAATACATTATATAGTTTAAATAACAAAATATAATCTAAACTTAACAAAAATGGAAAATTTTGCCTTGGCAAATAGCTGAAATATTTATATTTTATTCTATATTATATTTTAATTTTGGTTTCAGTTTTAGTTGACTATAATAACCCTGTTTCAATTGCTTCAATTGATGTTTTAATTGACAGGAAATCTTGGAAGAAGTGGTTCGTGAATTGCACAAGGTGAAGGACGAGATCATTGATGGTATGTTGTGCTGGTTTATTTTCCTGTGCATCTTAAATGCGGTGTAAGTTGCTTTGGATAAACGCAGCAGCCAAATGCATAACATGTGACAGTCTGTTGTGTATGTTCTGTATTGGGTAATGCACTCGAGTGACTCGAATGACTGCGTTCTGCTTTATTTCCAGCCATTAGACATGAGCTCAGCAGAATCAGCACCACATAATGTCCATCTCCTCCGAGAGCCCAAGCTGTAGCCACGAGAGCCGGACGTTACCGCCGTATTAAAGCACACGGACTCACAGCGTGCTGGTTTTAACACGTCTGCAACGTCGAGGAGCGGTTGATGAAGCAGGGACACTTGCACTGATCTTACTGTTCCTGGTGTACACTGATTTTAGTGGCAGTCTTTTCAAAGTCTTTTGCAGAAACTGAAGAAAATAGAACAAACATCTGGAGTCCTTTTATGTTGTCTGCATCATTATTATTATTATTATTATTATAGGTGTAGTTGTAGTAGTAGTGTTTTCATGTAGGTAGAGGTAGACATAGGAATTGATAATAATAATAATAACAATGATATCATTGCACACCACTTCAGCGTTAGCCTTTTGTATTTTTACTGTTTTCATTTTCCTTAAGATTCATCATGAGCACATTCCTCTGTTTTTTAAGAGTTTTATCCTTTTTGCCATAATGATGTGTTTGATCTGAAGGAGGGTTTTAAACACGTCTGAAGCTGCGTAGGCGGTTCTCGAGTTATTATCTGACGAACAAACATCACACACCAGAGTATTTGTGATCATGTTGTTAATCAAGTGTTTATCGGCTGCGAGGACATGAAGTATTGTTCTGTTTTATGATTTCTGTTTTTGACCAAGTGCTTCCTGGTTTGAAAAAATAATAATAATAATAAAAGACGTTTAAAAAGACGTGAAATAAAGGATGTGTTGGATGACGGAGCCGTGTGTTTGATCTGCATGCGTGTGATCATACGGAGAATAATGTCATGACAGGAACACGCGATTCATAAACGACAGAAATACATCCGTCTCTGTTTAAACAAAAACTGATGGACACTTTCATTTTTCATTGACTTTAATTTTCAGAAAAAACCCACAGACTAGCATATTATCATCATAATTGTATTTTAATAGCAAGTCTGTAATATTTTAATTTGATATTTAACATTATTAATTAATTATTAATACACAATGTAAATCTGGATTTTAAAATAATAATGTGTTAATTACAGGAGTTTCTGGTGACATTTTCAGTTTAGAAATGCTATTTATATTTATTTTTAAATATTCAAACAGCTTACCATATTAATATAAATGTATAATACTAATACTAATATTTTAATTTTAAATTATTCATGTAATTTTAAATAATAATAACCTAAGCACAATTAACACATAAAATAATACATTAATATATCAAGAATTCTGGTGATATATATTTTCAGTTTAGAAATAACTTGAATGAGAAAAACTTTAAAAAAAATATCATGTAACTAAATCATGATCGAAGTTACATTTTGTGTAATTTAATTCTGTGAAAATAAAATAATTAACAAATTAATAATTTCAGTAATGTGCCATTTATTCTCAATTTGGAAATTTAAAAATATCATACATGAGGGAAAAACTACAAACGTAAAAAAATAATTAGGATATTAAGTAAAGATCATGTTCCATGAAGATATTTTGTACATTTCTTTTCCTACCGTAAATATATCAAAACTTAATTTTTGATTAGTAATATGCATTGCTAAGAACTTCATTTGGACAACTTTAAAGATGATTTTCTCAATATTTAGATTTTTTTGCACCCTCAGATTCCAGATTTTCAAATATTGTCCTATCCTAACAAACCATACATCAATGGAAAGATTATTTATTCAGCTTTCAGATGATGCATAAATATAAATAAACCTTATGGCTGGTTTTGTGGTCCAGGGTCACATATAGTGTATTTACACACAGGTACAGTCATCCGCGCGGCTCTCCTCTCGCGAGATCTGGCAGCGGAGCGTCGTGGCGACGTGAATTCAATGTGTTGCCAAGTCTGCGGTTTTCCCGCGGAATTTAGCTACTCTAACTAACATTGTTGCCCCGAGTTGAGTTTCATGTCCGCGGGTTGAAGCGACATTTACTAGCGATGGCGAAGTGAAGCGTTCTGAACACTATTTTATCGGAAAAAGGTTCGTTGCTCGAAGCTTCTCAACACGGTTTGTTCTGTCGCCATCTAGTGGTCATTAACATGAATAACGCCTTCGCTGCGGTTCGCTTCGTTTGAACCTGATTCTAAAGCAGTCACGTGGTTTTCAGGCGAACGAAGCGTAGGACGTCATAGATCACGTGCTTCTGGCAAAACGAATCAAGCTCCTATACAGTGCTTCAATGTGAAATGTGTGGTTTTTTTGATAGCTTTGGTGTTGAACATAACATCACTCATATTTATCCCCTGCGATGCGAATTGTACCAAGTGAACCTCGCCAAAAAACGTGCATTTTACCCCCCAGAACGCGATTTTGAGCAGCAATTGGGCGGGTTTTGTCGTGGAGACCTGGCAACCCTGCAGTGGAGAGTTATTTGTGTTATCGGAGTGTGTGCGCTGCGGGTGTGTGTGAGAGAGAGCGTCGCGAGCGTTGAACGCCACAGACAGCGGACTCGGCGAACATGGCATCCGGCGAGACGCTGTACATCGAGGCGGACGGCTCGGAGATGCCCGCGGAGCTCGTGGAGCTGCACGAGATCGAGGTGGAGACCATCGAGACCACGGTGATCGACGGCGACGACGACGACGACGACGAGCAGCAGCCCATGATCGCGCTGCAGCCGCTGGTCACAGACGATCCGAGCCAGCTCCACCAGCACCAGGAGGTGATCCTGGTCCAGACCCGCGAGGAGGTGGTCGGCGGCGACGAGTCGGAGCTCCACGGGGAAGACGACTTCGAGGAGCGGATCCTCATCCCGGTGCCCGCCGAGGAGCACTACATCGGGCAGACGCTGCTGACAGTCGCGGGCAGGAGCTCCGCGGGGCGGCTGGGGAAGAGAGCGGCGTCGGGGGGCAAGAAAGCGGGCAAGAAGAGCTACCTGAGCGCGGCAGAGGCCTGCGGGAGGAAATGGGAGCAGAAGCAGGTGCAGATCAAGACTCTGGAGGGCGAGTTCTCCGTCACGATGTGGGCTTCGGGTGAGTCTCGTTTCCCGCGGAGTCCCTCGTTAGGCAGGGCGTTGTCCGCTCGGCGCTCGGTCCTCTCTGCGGCTCTTCGCACCGTGTTTATGTTTTGAACGGAGGCCATGTTTTGGGCTGTCTATGGGCGCCGCCATGTTCCCCGAGTCCAGTATGGCGGCCCTGGAAAGATGGCGACGGCGCGGCGGATTGGAGATGGCGCGAGAGCGCTGCGGCTGCCGCTTGTAGGCCGCTAGGTGAGAGCGACCGTTAAAAACCGTTAAACGCGGGTTTTGAATTTCGGCTTCAAAGCGGGAAGCGATCGCGCGCCACTTTGGATTTAAATATCCGTCAAGGTGTGACTCTTGTTTATTTTAATTTAGCGTTGTGAACTGTTGTTGTCTATTAAAGCGTTACACCGTGTCCTAACTACACGCGACGCCGCGACACGCGATAAAAATGTTAATCGGAGTTTTTGTACTAACTAACCGCGACGGCGACATGCAAAATTTCTATTTTAGAAACGGTTTCTATTTCCGCGACGTCGCGGCTGGATCAACAACATACAAACTATGACCGTGATAATCTCAGGTACTGATTATGTGCTTTATTCAATGCTAAAAGTGAGTTTGAATATCATTTTGCCAGACATTTATAGCCGTACTGAAAGCAGCAACAGATAGTTTACCTCAGATGTTAAAAATAAATTAAAACAAACATGTACGTTAAAACTGCGAACACAATGCGAACCAACAAGCGCATCCCACAACAAAGAAAGTATCAGTCACTCAATATGTACATTTATGTAGTTATAATGTTAAAATGTTTAATATTTATGAATTGGATCATAAACGTATCCATTTCGTTGCGAGTGCAGTGCGCTTCCAGAGAGCCCGCCCACACACGCTTCTGATTGGCTGCGATATTTGATTGATGCTGTCGCTTCGGTCTAGTGTGGACAGCTAAATTGCTTGTCACTGGAATCTTGTGGCGTCGCGTGTAGTTAGGACATGGTGTTAGTTCACTCAAAATGAAAATTCTGTCATTAATTAGGACTACTCACCCTCATGTGGTTCCAAACCCGTAAGATCTTTGGAACACAAATTAAGAAATTTTTAAAGAAATTTGGGAGCTCTCTGACCCTCTGTAGACAGCAACGCAACTGAAATGTTCCCAGGTCCAGAAACGTAGCAAGGACATCGGTAAAACAGTCCTTGTGACATCAGTGGCTCAACTTCAATTTTGCAAAGCTACGAGAATACTTGTTTACGAGAAGCGTTGTTTCTGCTCGGGCGAAAGCGCGCTCATGCTGAACGTAAACAATGCTGATTATGTTCTGGGGAAAGCTTGCGCATGCGTCGTGGTACTCCAAAATGGCGGAAGACTGTAACTAGGGGAGAAGAATTGTTGAATAAAGTCGTTATTTTAGTGTTCTTTGCACACAAAACTTATTTTCGTAGCTTCGTAAAATTACGGTTGAACCACTGATGTCACATGGATTATTTTAACGATGTCCTTGCTACGCCTTGATCGTGTTAGGATCCTTGCTGTCTATGGAGGGTCAGAGAGCTCTCGGAATGCATCCAAAATATCTTAATCTGTGTTCCAAAGATGAACGAAGGCCTTACGGGTTTGGAATGACATGAGGGTGAGTAATTAATGACAGAATTTTCATTTTGGGCTCAACTATCCCTTTAACTAATTTGAAGCCGTTTGTGTTTCAGATGACAAGAAGGACATCGATCATGAGACGGTGGTGGAGGAGCAGATCATCGGGGAGAACCCTACTCCGGATTTTTCCGAGTACATGACGGGAAAGAAGCTCCCACCCGGCGGAATCCCGGGAATCGACCTGTCAGACCCGAAGCAGCTGGCGGAGTTCGCCAGGTCAGAGACGCTTACTGCCCCATTACCCCATAAAGCCAACAGAATTCAGTGTTTGTTTTCAGTAGGTGTGTACTTCAGGGTCAGAAATTAAACACAAACTTCTTCAGATGTTCCTTTCGCCAAACTTTTTTTCCTCCCTTTTCAAATCTCATATGTGCCCTGGAGCACAAAACCAGTCATAAGGGTAAATTTCTCGAAATTGAGATTTATGCATCATCTGAAAGCTGAATAAATAATAATTGATGTATGGTTTGTTAGGATAGGACAATATTTGGAAATCTGGAATCTGAGGGTGCAAAAAAATCTAAATATTGAGAAAATCATCTTTAAAGTTGTTCAAATGAAGTTCTTAGCAATGCATATTACTAATCAAACATTAAGTTTTGATATATTTACGGTAGGAACTTTACAAAATATCTTATTGGAACATGATCTTTACTTAATATCCTAATGATTTTTGGCATAAAAGAGAAATGTATAATTTTGACCCATACAATGTATTGTTGGCTATTGCTACAAATATACCCCAGCGACTTAACACTGCTTTTGTGCTGCAGGGTCACATATTACAGATTTGAAAAGGGAGGAAAAAATGTTTGGCAAAAGGTGGGTTCGAACTCGGGTCGTCTTTTGTAGTGTTCGCTAGCCCAGTGGTCACCATCGTTGTGCACGCATGGAGTCTCTGAGTCGCCCGCCAAGCACGTTCTATAAATAGCCTAAACTAGCGCCAGGCGATAAATGATATCATATCGAAATTATGATAACATTTATGTTAATGATGATAAGCTCTGGACATTTTTACTCGATATGGATTAATCTAACATCCTATCACACAACAGAAATAAATGTTACAGCAGCCAGTCAGCGCATGTCGCTAATAAGTCTGCATGTTCTGTGTGTCTGAATGCGTGGAGTAGTTTCGTCTGATACACAAACTCAAACACACGTGACTCGCGGTGTTTTTAGCGTCTGCGTCTCAATATATGAGGACATGAACACATGCTCTTCATCTCCAGAGCTCACTTCACCAGCTTTATGCAGTTTCATTTGAGAAAATTACCGTCAAATACACGCTGAAACTAAAACTGAAAGACCTTCACGACAAACCGTCAAAATAAAAGTCCGGTTTAACTTGAAATTATGACTGAATATATTACTACTGTGTACAACAATGCAATTCTCAAAGTAATAATACTATTATTTTTAAGGAATATCATACAACCAAGCTATTTTTTATTATTATGAATTTATACAGTTCTGTTGTGCGGCATCATGTCTGATAAAATAAAATAAAAAAATGCGATCTTTTGTTGCAAATTGATTTTCATTTGATTACATTTTAAAAGATTTTAAATTGTTAATGTTTTATTAATTTATTTCACTAGACACCATTTTTTATGATAAATTTACTGAATCATAAAACACAGAATCCATAAGAAATCAAATGGAAAACACAGAATTTAGGGAAAAATGAAATGCATTTCATGGGGCCCTAAATTAAAACGTAGCTCCTCTGTGGAATTTAATTGTGAACAAAGTTATGTTTACGTTCATTCTCAAGGGCTAACAAACGTGGAAAGCATTTCCTTCCCCATTAATGGTAAATGAATATCATGATAAATATCAATATTGTACGATAGCCTATTTTTATAAATTTATCTGGAATATTTTCCTGGATTGATAAAAAAAAAGTAAAATGCTTGTGAGAAATCATTAATGTTTATTAATGGCAAGATATCAAGATTTAAAAAAAAAACAATATATATATATGAAGATATGAAGTCTTGTTTTCCGAGAAACTGAACAAAATGAAGCTAGTTTATGATTAAAACAAGAACAAATATCTGCCAATAGGGAATGAGAACCTGATTTGCTTTGAATTAAGTAGATTTTTCTGACTCCACTTTTATTTGTACTGGAAAACAAGACTTCACTTATTTTTTTTGCAGTGTGATCAGAAGGTGCAGTAAAAGCGATTTCCGTATCATAGTGTTTGGATCAGAGATATTCAAGCGGGTTTTTATTTTTTATTTTTAATTAATAGCTAATAGCGAACTGTTATAGCGAAAGATCAGAGCATTGCTGATACAAGATATTTACATTTAGAGGTCATATTGACATAGTTTTCAATTCAATTTATTCCTTAAATTTTCTTTCCTTGGTTTTATTAGTATTATATTGTGTATTTTGCAAGCAAAAATAGTTAAAGTAGATGTTGCTGTTGAAATCCTTTTTTTTTTTTTCTGTTTTAATGTTTACATTAAATGTTAGTAATCAAAAAGCATGCCAAATTAATTGAAATTATAAAATTTATACAATTGAACAACAAATTATTAAATGTTTAATTTAACAAAAAAAAAAGTTTTTTTTTTTTTTTTTTTTTTAAATTTTTTTTTTTTTTTTTTTTTTTAAATTTCTTTTTTTGTTGTTTGTTTGTTTGATTGATTGGTTGTTTGTTTGTTTTTTGCCTGGTCTGCATTTTGATGGTTTAATTAAACTAAAAATAATCAAAAAGCATGTCTAATCAATTGAATTCATAAAACTTTAACAACTCAGTAATTGATTAAAATCATAGGCAATCAAGATCTTTCCCTAATGGTCCAACAACTATCTGATGTAATTGAATGAGTATTTTTATACAACGCCACTGAAAACAAATAAAGAAGTTTGTTTCTGACCCTGTGTGTGTGTGTGTGTGAGAGAGAGTGAGTGTTATGTGTGTGAGTGTTGTGTGAGTGAGTGTTATGTGTGAGTGTTATGGGTGTGTGAGTGTGTGTTGTGTGAGTGTGTGTTATGTGTGTGTGTGTGCGTGCGTGAGAGAGTGAGTGTTATGTGTGTGAGTGTTATGTGTGTGTGTGTGTGTGTTTGGGATCATGTGATCTCCGTGTTAGTTTCATTGTACTTCCTGTAAAAATATCCTTTTGTTTTAATCCATGTTCATTGTCTTTGTAAGATGTGTTCAGTGCTGCGGTGTTTTGACGAGACGTTTACTGTGTTAGTTGTTTTATTTCTCAGCCCCTTCAGTCACAGCGGAGCTGGTTTTGCTCGCAGTCCCGTTCGGTGAGTCTTCGACTGAATCTCACACCTGAGGGCTTGTAATCGGTCACTGGAGAGTGTCTGGGGTCACGGGTGGAAGTGATCTGAATGTCCTCTGGTATGCAGAGAGCATGCTGGGTAACTGATCTCTGATGTGCTTGTGTTGATCTAGAATGAAGCCGAGGAAGATCAAGGAGGATGACGCGCCTCGGACGATAGCCTGCCCGCACAAAGTGAGTGATTGAGGGAGTGCGTTTGTCTGGAAGCGTTAGGGGTGTGCGATACTGACAAAAAATAATATCTCTATTTCCTTGGATTTTACCGATAATGATAATTAGACGATATTTTGCTGAGTGTGTTATTGTGCTGGTACCAAATGAAATCAGTATCAACAAAATTCATCTTTGCAATGCAGAGGAAACACAGAAGCTGCATCTGAAGTGGCATTTAGATGTATTTTCACACTGTTTAATGCAGGACATGAATGCATTTAACCTGCAATTACAAATGCATGAATAATGTTTTGATATATCAATCATAAAATGTTGAATAGATACTATAAATATGAAATTAAAACCGCCAGTAGGTGGCAGCAAGTCACTGTTAATAAGTGAATAGTGTTGTCACGGTACCAACATTTCAGTATTCGGTACCAATACCAGTGAAAATCCACGGTTCTCGGTACCAAAGCAAAACACAAAATCATGCTAATTTAAAAAATTGACTATACTTTCAATTAATCCAAACTGTGTACATGTTTAATGTTAAAGGGATTTTAAAACCTTCTAGAGTTATTCAGCCAAGAATAACAACTAAGTTAGCTAAAAAAAAAAAACAAGCCCAGAACTGCTTTTCTGACTGATATGACACAATGTTAACCATTTGTTCATTCTCTAACACGCATATTCATTTAAAAGCCTCTGGTGTGTAAAAATAGTAAATATCATCATATCCTCCTGTTTTTTTTACCCTAATAAAAGTTATAGGAGCATTAAATAGTTAATAAAGAAACTTCATTCTAATGCTCATTATATTAGCGTTAGCCGCGCTTATGCTAACGATGAACTACTCCAATAACAGCGATGTTCATTTCAATCCGACATTTAAATTAAAATATTGAATAATATTCATAACAGAAGCGGTGTTTCCCTCAGACTTGCACTTTATTTGTGGCGGCATATATATGCAAAATCATTCTCTGCCAGCAGGAGGCGCTTGTAGAGC